AGAGGCCTGCAGTGTGGCCCCCAGGCAAAAGCTTTGTCTTTCTGCCTGAGTCCCAGCAGAGTGACTGCCAGGTTGGGAGGGATTACTATAAAACACTTTTCCAGGTTTATTTTGAAGGGAATGCAGAGGAGCAGAAAGAGTGTATTTTTCAGGGAGTTCAGCAGTGCAGAAAAGGTACATGGAAGACAGAGGTCGGGAAATGAATTGAGCATTTTGTGCTGGGGTTTTATTAAATACTGTAGTCTTAAAATCATCCTGGGAGTTGGTATGTTGATCCAGTCTGTTGACCCAAACAGGGTCCAGGAAAGGCAGACTGAGCTTCTGTTTCTCAATGTCAGTACTTATTCTGCAGCCCAGTTTGATAGTCTCTATATTGATAGAGTACTTTTTCTTTACATTCTTTCCAAGGAAATTTGCTTTATTCTCATTGACTGACAAGTAGACCTTTGCTCATGACTTATTTTTTAGTTTAGCAATTGTATTAGCTAGAGTAAATTTACCTCATTGTCTATCTTTGTTTTTTGTTTTTATCTTTATTGTTGAAAGTATTACAGATGTCCCTCATTTTTCCCCCATTGATCTCCTCTTTCTGCTCCCAACCCCCTCCTGCCTTCCCCACACTATAGTCCATGTCCATTGGTTATGTATATATGCGTATAAGTTCTTTGGTTTATCTTCCCGCCGCCCCAATCCCCTTTGTCTCTGAGGTTTGTCAGTCTGTTTCCTACTTCCATGTTTCTGGATCTATTTTGATCATCAGTTTATTTTGTTCATTATATTCCATAAATAAGTGAGATCATGTGGTACCTGTCTTTCTCTGACTGGCTTATTTCGCTCAGCATAATAATCTCCAGGTCCCTCCATGTCGTCGCAAAGGGTAAGAGATCTTTCTTTCTTACAGCTGCAGAGTATTCCATTGTGTAAATTTACCACAGCTTTTTGAAATATATATATATTTTTAATCCTCACTAGGGGATACTTTTTCATGTTTCTTCAGATAGAGTGAGAGGGAGGGAGAGAGATGGAGAGAAACATCGTTGTGAGAGACACATCAATTAGTTGCTTCCCGCATGTCCCTGACCAGGGCTATGGATTGAACCGCAACCGAGGTACGACATGCCTTTGACCAGAATTCTTTGGTCCCATGGTTCTTTGGTCCATGGGTCGACGCTCCGACTTTGAGCCAAATTGGCCAGGACGTACCACAACTTGTTTATCCACTTGTCTACTGATGGACACTTGGGCTGTTTCCAGATCTTAGCTATTGTAAATAGTGCTGCTATGAACTTAAGGGTGCTTATATTCTTTCTGATTTGTGTTTCAGGCTTCTTAGGATATATTCTGAAAAGATCACTGGGTCAAATGGCAGTCCCATTTTTAATTTTTGAGGAAGCACCATATTGATTTTCATAGTGGCTGCACCCGTCTGCATTCCCACCAGCAGTGGACTAGAGTCCCCTTTTCTCCATACCCTCGCCAGCACTTGTTGTTTGATGATTTGTTGATGGCAGCCATTCTGCCAAGTGTGAGGTGAGACCTCATAGTTGTTTTAATTTTCATCTGTCTGATGATTAGTGACATTGAGCATATTTTCATATGTCTCTTGGCCATTTGTATGTCCTATTTGGAGAAGTGTCTGTTCAGGTCCTCTGCCCATTTTTTAATCATATTGTTTGTCTTACTTTTGTTGAGCTGTATGAGTACTTTATATATTTTGGATATTAACCCTTTATCCAATGTATCAATGGCAAATATGTTCTCCCAAAGAGTGGGTTCCCTCTTCATTTTGATGCCGGTTTCTTTTGTTGTACAGAAGCTTTTTAGTTTGGTATAGTCCCATTTATTAATTTTTTTCTTTGTTTCTCTTGCCCTAGGCAATGATGTATCGGTAAAAATTCTGCTACATGTGATGACTGATATTTTGCTGCCTACATTTTCCTCTAAGATTTTTATGGTTTCACAATTTACATTTATCTTTTATCCATTTTTAATTTATTCTTGTGTATGGTGTAAGTTTGTGGTCTGGTGTCATTATTTTGCATGTACTTGTCCAATTTTCCCAACACCATTTCTTGAAGAGACTGTCTTTTTGTCATTGTATGTTCTTGCCTCCTTTGTTGAGTATTAATTGTGCATAATGTCTTGGATTGATTTCTGAGTTCTCTGTTCTGGTCCATTGATCTATATACTTTCTCCTATGCCAGTAGCAGGCTGTTTTGATTGCGATGGCTTTGTAGTATAACTTGATATTGGGTGTTGTGATCCCTCCAAATTTGTTCTTCTTTTTCAAGATTGCTGTGGCTATTCAGGATCTTTTTTGGTTCCATATAAACTTATGGAGTATTTGTTGTAGATCTGTGAAGTATGCCATTGGTACTTTAATAGGGATTGCATTGAATCTATAGATTACTTTGATATTATGGACATTTTAATGATGTTGATTCTTCCAATTTGTAAACATGGTATATGTTTCCATGTTTTTATATTGTACTCTATTTCTTTTTTCAATGTTCTGTAATTTTCTGAGAGCAGGTCTTTTACCTTCTTGGTTAAATTTATTCCTAGGTATCTTAATTTTTTGTTGCAATGGTAAATGGGATTTTTTTTTTAGTTTACCTTTCTGAGTGTTCATTATTGATGTTATCTTTGTTTTTAAAGAGTGCAAAGACTGGGGTCAGGAAACCTTTATACTGTAGTTGTGTTTAAGCATTTGTTTCTTTAATTTGGTTTTCCTTATACATAGTTTTTCAGTAATTCTGAGGATTAATATGGGCATTGAACATTTTGAATAAACTTTTATATAACCAGATCATAGCAGTTCTATAATTTGAAATAAGACACTGTTCAAAATTATAGAACTACTTACTATGATCTAGTTTTACAAAGCTATTGGGCACTGCCTCTCCTTACAAACTGGCTCTGTGCTCTTTACTGATCTGTGTATAGTTTGGGTGAGAATGGAAAAGGAAGGCCACCTACTAGCTGAATGACCTTGGGCAGATCACTAAACGGTCACCTGGAAGAGTGGGCTCAGGAAGAGTTTGTAGAACCTGAACCAAGGAATTGCCTTATTTCTGTTTGTGGAACTTGGGTATTTTTAGGAAACATTCAGGAATAACTATGAAATCATTATCCTCATCCTGATTTTTAGCCTAAATTAGGCTTATTTTGGGTCCTGACATGGCTTCTGTTAGACAAGGAAAATGTGAATTCCTACTTTATAGTTAATAATGATATATTTATATATTGATATTGATATATCATTGTCAGAGTGTTGAGGCCAGGAGCTTATAGCTTTCTGTTTAGTTTGAATTCGAGGCTGGGTAGGCTTGTAGGTTTTCACTGAAAAGTAAGGAAAGAGTGGTCTAGGAGAATAAACTAAATGCACTGAGTGAACGGTAAAAACCGAAGTTGTTAAATACAGTTGAAGGGCTCCATGTTTATTTGGATAGAGTGGTTTGTCTGGGTAAAAGCCGTGTGTTTAAACCCTGCTCTAAGCATTGAAACATGTTTAACCGAATGTAATCACCATGTAGTCAGTGTGCTACCCATTTTGGAGCAGTCTTACACCAAACTAACATGAGGGAGGATAAACTACATTGGAGGATAGAATAGATATGCTTAAGTGAGTTTACTGTAGCCCCTATGCTAATTGAAACACGTTGAAAAACTATTTTTGTTTTAACTTTCCTTTACATATCAGACTTAGTGTCTTTTAAAATTTTTAGAAGAAGAGGTGTCAAAATATTTGATAAAATTTATTTTCAAACCTCTAGTTCTTTTCTTTATTAATTAATTTTTGTTACAGATGTTTCTCCTCTTCCCCTGCAGACACCCTTCTCCCTATCCTGCCCTCTACCAAGCATTGTTGACTATGTCCATTGAAAACCTCTTTAGTTTTAAGTTAAAAAATATTCACCAGTTAATCAAGAACTGATTTTTAAACTGAATTTGAGATGTGAGTTGGGGCACCAGAGGGTGGCAGTTAGTCTTCTAACCAGCCTGTATTCACTCTGCCTTCTAATCTGCTTTGAATGTCAGAGTAAGCACCTCTAGGAGTCTGCTTCTCCATAAAGGCAATGAACACTGGCAAAAATGATCATAATAAACTTTTTCATAACTCTAGAAATTAACCAATAATTCTAGGAGTGTTCATTCAAGGGAAATGACTGAATTGTAAAGAACAGTGAATTTTGTTGTATTTTAACTTGATCTATTCCCACTCCCTTGCTTCTGGTAGCTCTAAAATAAACAGCATAGTAGTCATTGGAGGGGGAAGAATAGGTTAGGAGCTCCCCCAAATCCCTAGACCCAGAGAACTCACTGTTTGACCTGCCTGGAAGCTCTCTAAGAAAGCCTCATTCTGAGGGCTTGTCTGTATTTGACCTGACTCAGAGATCACGCAGTGGTAAAAGCCATATCCTTGGGTGTCTGTTGAAAACAATCAACAGTAATTGTTTAATGTGGCAACTGCCTGCAGCAGTGACACCAATTGGGTCAAACAAGAAGTGGGCTAAAACCTTAAAGAAATTATCTTGGGAATGAGATAGGGCCTTTGAAAAGCTCTGACATACTCTGGGCGGTTTGGAGGACCAGTGTGCATGCCCAGAAAAGACCTGAGGAGGCCCTCATTCTCTCCTCTGGACTACCGTGAGGCTCTGCAGAAGTAGGAAAGTAATGGTTAAAACTGAGTTGCAAACTGTTGAAGCATTGAGGGTGTGCCCCAACACGCAAACAGAGCCCCTTAACGAATTTGGGGTGGGAGACTTACTGGAGTGGAGGCCATGATGCACCCAAAAGGAATTTGGGTTTACATTTCATAACAAAAGTACCTTGTACTGTTTTAGTAAGATATACTGCAGGTCAAATCTCCCCACTGGAACTCTGATCTAGAGGAGTGTGTGGACATCATCTATGAAATCTTTCTTAAAAGTTGTCTCTCAGTTGAGCTTTTGGAAGGTATTGAACAGCAGTGAATTATGGCTTGTATTCTGTGACAGGTGCCTGGTCTGCAGATGACCCATGTTGCCAGTTAATCATGCAGCCATATGTTTTACCTGTTGGACAGACTAGGGAAGAGGTAAAGTCACTGGTCTTTTCAGCAGAGGCCACTGGCAATCAGAGGTAAGGAGAGGGGCTGCAGTTCACATGGCCTTCGGTCTCCAGGTACCATTTTGGGCCCAGCAAGAGAGAGGAAGCAGGCCAACGTTCTGGGGATGCTGTGTTAATGCCTAGGTGGTAAATAGGGATCACATAAGAAAATATGATTTAGGAGTTTTTATTATGGCCACATTTTGAATATTTGTGCTGGCAAAGGGGAGGACATTGACAAGGGTAATAAATCAAATTCTGCAGTGTTTCAGAAGAAGCAAGGAAAACACTTTAAAATTAGAATATAGTACTGAAGGCAGAAAATAGTACTGCAGGATGACATGAAGTCTTTAAAAACACGATGTATTTGGAATTCTGTTCCCATCTTAAGAGATGGTGATTTGGTTCTGAGAGCTTCTAGACCTTCCTCTCCTTCAGGGTGAGTGCATGCAGTGCAGGTAATGCCAGGGTGTGAAGTAGTTTTTCCCTGACCCAGCACCCTCAAGCTCAGGCTTGGCAAGAGAAAATGCAGCCTGTTAATTTATTTCCCAGTACAGTGGAAACCCATTATATGCAAATTGATTATGCAGATTTCAACTAATGACATAAATAATACTAATAGAAGCTTCACGTTATGTACATAATTTCAGTGGACACATTTCCCCAAATTATGCATTAAGCCAGCTCGTATTTTCAAAACTAGCAGGTCAACTGAATTGTAAAAATGCTTTGTTACTCAGTGGCATCATCTTTTCTTAGAAAAATCCTACTAACTCTTGGCAATATTATGTGAACTCTTGTGTTTTTTTTTAGAACTTCAAGGATTTTGATGAAATCTGTGTTATTTAAAAATTAACTGGTATAATTTACATCATTATTAGAGCTTTCAAAATATCCAAATGTGCTAATAGTGGTGTTGAAAACCATCCTGAAAATTAGTAACTTTCGAACAGAAATGTGACCAAACACAGGATAATAAGCCATGTTGTCAACTCATGAGATGCAACTGAGAACCGTTAGAGCTAATGCTGGGAATATAAACATCAGTAAAGCAACAGACAGCACACGACTGCAGATTTATGTGTTCTGAGGATGCCTTCCCCACGCTCTACTCCCAGACTGTGGGCTGATGTCTTGAATTATACTTCAGGAACACGTCCCATGAATCAAATGCAACCATGCTTTATGAATCCCTGTTACCTAGGCTTGGAAAAGATCACTTAGGTTGGAAAATATGTATAACAACGTACTTATTTGACATTGAGTAGAACATCTTGGAGGGGTTAGAAGAAGAGAATTCTGCTTCTGTTTCTTTCAAACTTGTCAGTAACTCTTAGTGAATTATTTTGTGCTTGCTTGTTGTGGGGAAGAAATATATTTCTTGCACCTATTTATGTATGGAAATAGGATGGTCACTTGCTGGTGAGGCTTTACTCTAAATGCACTCAAAGTCATTTGGTTTCCACATCAAGTGATAGGGCTTTTAAAAATTGCTTATATTTTAGTGGTGCTTATTACATGCCAGGTACTATTCGAAGGGCCTTATTCCCTTAATCCTCATGGCAGCCTGTCGAGGTAGGCACTGTTCTCTCTGCCATCGTACAGGATAGACAACAGAAGCACAGGGAGGTCGACTTGCCAAAATCTGAGGACGAATAAGTTGCAGAGCTGAGAGTCAAATCTAGGCTGGCTGGGTCCAGTGTCTGTGTCCTCAGTCACCATGTGTGGCCTCTCAGGAAGCTGGAGGTGAAGAGCCTTTTGTCGAACTTCATTCTCCGAGGGGAACTCAGTAGACAAGGGGGCGCGTTCCCATGCCAGAGGAATTACTGTATGGAAAAGATCCATGTCATAAAATAGTTGTGCAGAACCCATAATATTTGCCTTTGGTAATTGGATACCAAAGGGGGATGGACTAGATTATTTTGTTTGAGGAAGTGAGAATGAGGGCCAGGTCTGCCCCAAAGGGAAGTCCAGGGTTGAGTGTAGATCTGTTGAGAGCTCTCTGGACCCGAGTAGTGGGGTGGAGCGCTCTGTCCTCAGCACTGGGTCACCTGGCTACGGAATCTGCGCCGCGCTTTCCTTCAACAAGACATTTATTAAACACGAGTATGATTTTCACAGTAGTCCGTTTGCAAGGATGATGAATAGGAAGTCTCTACCTCACCCTTCTTCCCCGCCAAACTCCCCACCTGCTTGTGATAATTGCAACTATTTTAAGAGGGGTGAAAACACTTAATTTTACAGGTAAAAAGTTGAAGATGGCAGCGCCTGGTTTACGGGGTGCATGTTATGTGGATGAGTTTGTCAGGGGGTTTGGGTTTGTTGGGCAGCCAGTGTAAATTATTATTGTCAGATATATCCCTTTTAATAGATGGGGCACGTAGACCTGAGTGTGGGGGGAGAGGATGTGAAGACTGGGGACAGTGACGGACTTTGCCCTAGTGACCTCAGCCTAGTTTTCCTGTTGAGATTGTTGGCCAGGGTGAGGTGAGCACTGATTATTTTCAAAGGAGCAGAGAGAAATAGAAGCTGAATACTAAATATTTGATGATGAAGCTGTAAAAACAGGCACTGGAGGGCTTATATACGTTATTTAAAACAATGTTGACTCTGCATAAAGGAACATTTTCCCATGTTGCTTGTCAGTCATACTGTCACAGCTTAGACTAATGTCTCAAGAGATGTGCGTGACACAGGCCCTCCCGAATGTGGGATTCCCTTCTCCCCTCTCCCGTCTCCCCCATTAAAGGTTTAGTTGTATCATATCAACCTGTATTCCATTTATACCACTGTGGGGGAGCTAGTCTTAAGAGCCAAGGATTTTGGCCCTGGCTGGTTTGGCTCAGTGGTTAAAGCATTGTCCTGCGGTCCAGAGAGACCCGGGTTCGGTTCCCGCTAAGGGCACGTACTTCGGTTGCAGTTTGTCCCTGGCCCTGGTTGGGTCGTGTGGGTGGCAACCATTTGATGTGTCCCTTTCACGTCGATGTTTCTCTCTCTCTCTCTCTCTCTCTCTCTCTCTCTCTCTCTCTCTCTCTCTTTCTCTCCCTCTCCCTCCTGCTCTATCTGAACAAAATATGGAAAAGTGTCCTTGAGTGAGGATAAAAAAAAAAAGAGCTAAGGTTTTGTAAAGTTAGAGACAACTTTCAGGAAGCAATCAAATGTTTCTACAATATACTGCTAATTTCTTACAGGTGTCATTTTGAATGCCACTATTGCTGTTCCTTATAGTTATGAAATCTTTCCCTCTCTGTTTTGGTTAATTGTAGGACTTAGGAAATTAAAAAAGAGGCATGGCATTATTCATTTATTTACTCACTTTCTAAACACCTATTGAGTGTCAAAACATTAGATAGAAAAAGTAGGAAATATGTTGAAATATAAATTTGTATTTAGTGCGGAACCAGATATATAGGTATAAAGTTATGGTAAAAATCTCATAGGGAAGTTTTTTTATTTATTTTAAATATTTTTTCTTTATTTCTTTTAGAGAGAGAGGAAGGAAGAGGGAGAGAGAGAGAGAAACATTGATGAGAGAGAACATTGATTGGCTGCCTTCTGCATGCCCCCACTGGGGATTGGGCCCACAACCTGGGCATGTGTCCTGATTGGGAATCAAACTGGTGACCTCTTGATGCATGGGTCCATGCTCAACCACTGAGCCACACCGGCCGGGCACAGAGAGAAGTTTTTATGCAACTTGATAGTTTACAGGGCCCTTCCACATATTTAGGGCTAGGCACAAGTAGGTTTACAGTTTTGAGTATGTGCAACACAGTTTATTCTTGTATTATTACTTCCTACGTTGTTTATATTACACTGTAAACCTGTTTTTGCCCACCCTTGTATTTGAAGTGCATGAGGGCAAGCCTTTTCATCCTCCCTTCATAGGTGAGGAAACTGCTCCATGTCAAACAGCTGGTCAGCAGAACTGGCACCTCCTCAGTGCCTTTCCAGTGGGTGAGGCGGGAGCCAGGCAGAGGGGATGAGTTTGAACCAAGCTTAAGGAAACCATGTCTGACTGTAGAGGCTGCCTACCACTCAGAAGGCTGTGTGAGACATAGATGCCTTGTCAGAAGTCCTTCTCTGTTCCCAAGGCCCACCCTGTGACTCACCTGTTCCTAGGAGCCTTGCCCTCAGCCTGGAGGTGTGTGACTGGGGAGGTGTCTGCTGCACACAGTATTTGTATTAAACAAGCCCTTGACTTTGTGTTTGAGGCCTAGCCACAAGGCCACATCAAAGTGGCTGAGCTGTAAACAAGCAGGGCCGGGGGCGGGGCGGGGCAGGGCTCTTCCTTGTGAGTTTTGGAGGGGGGAGAGCAGCTGAGGATGGCTGTGCCGATTATAGACAAGGCTCAAGGGCGGGGACTTGGAGCGCTACCTCCTCTGTGATCCAGGCATATGTCTCTGTTAGAGCTCTTAGCAAGGATTTGCCATCTTTCCAGCTCAGACCTGGTACACAGGAAGAGCGTAGTATTGGTTTAGTGATACATTTGCAGCTTTTTTGGAAAGGTATAAACAGGATTTTTTCCTTATTAGTCAACCTTTTTTTAATGTGAAAAAACTTTTTAAAGAAATATCAAGTCAATTTTAGCTTTTTAAATTTTGGATATTGTGAATGCAAAGTTATAGTTAGGGCATTCTTTAATGTGATTTTACTAGTTATGGGTTAATATCACTTTGGTTACTGCCATTATAGTTCAGAGATATCTCTTCAATGCTGTTCCTCTGAAGAACTGAAGATAGAAGCAATTGATCTTTGTTTAATTGACTAATTAACATTTTAAAGGACACTAAAGGTCATAGACCAGATGACTGTAGTTAATTTACTCAGTTTACAAACCATTCTCCTATTTCTTTTCTGTGCGTTCAGGTCTTCTCTCTTTGTCAGGATTACAGATCTCTCTCTTCTGCTTTGCTTGTCACATGTGGCTTTCATGTGCCAGTATCCTTTTATTGCATCTGTATTTAGCACCAGGTGGGTGCCAGGCCTGGGCCATGGTACCAGGAACACAAAGACGAGTAAGAGGCGTCCTCTCCTGAGTCATCACCTGGTGGGAGCCAGAATGGGGACTCAAATACATTTCAGACCAGGCTGTCCTGGAGGGGTCCAGGATGCGGGGGAAGAGGGGAGTCCTGGTGAAGTTGGTGTCTAGAGGTGGGCCTCAGAGGATGGAAAGCTCTGAGTACCACCTGTGTTGGTATATTTCATCTTTCTGACCACCATGTAAGGTACATGCATTTTTCACACAGAAAATTGACACAAAGAGAAGTTAAGTAACTTGTCTAAGAGCTCACAGCTCATCAGTGGTGCTGTTGGGATTCCAACTCAGGCAGTCTGGTTGCAGAGCCCATGCTGTGAATTGCCACCCTAGGCCCAGTGGGATTCGGACAGACCAAGATTAAGCAGTGTGGATTCCCAGGAGGTAGATGAGGAGGTCACAGTGATCACAGGCATGGAGGGAGACAAGTGGTTAGGGCCATTCTGCTGAGGTCCTGGAATCCCACCCTGAAGGGGATGACAGTGGAACAGTATTGGTAACTCGGGGCCAGCGGAGAGGTTGTGAAGGTTTTGGGGTAGCTTGTTCCCTCTCCCGCATCTGCAAGCTGACCTGAGTTTTCGGCTTTCATTCCCACAGGTGACAAACATGCTTATGCCTCAGCCTTTGAGTCGTCTGCCTATTATCTTTCCTTCCATCTACAGTTATGCTTTTGGTTAAGGCTTTTCTGGAGGGTCATCTGTACTGCTTCTACTTTTTACCCCACCTGTCCCCCGTCACCCCACTGGAACAGTCCTGACTAAGGTGTCAGTGACTGGCTCACTGGTCGTTCTAGTGAAGACTTCTCAGTCTTTGTCTTACCCAGCAGTTCCCAACCAGGGGCGATTTTGCCACCAGGGGATATCTGACAATGACTGGAGATCTTTTGGGGTGTCACAATTGAGGGGGGTGGCGTTACTGGCATCTAGCAGGGGTGCTGCTAAAAACATCAGTCGTACACAGGACACTCCCACAACAGAGAACTGTCCAGCCCAAAATATCAGCAGTGCAGTGACTGAGGAACACAGATCCCACCTGGCACTCGGACATTCCAGGTCCTCTGTTCTCACGTTTCCGACTGCCTTGGTAGAATTCTCTCCTGACTTGTCGTCCAGTGACTTCTCAGTTCACTCCTTATCAGTCTCCGTGGAAAACTCTCCTCCAGCCTTTTCAAAACATTTTTTTCTCCTTTATTGATTTTAGAGAGAGAAAGGGAGAGGGAAAGAGAGAGGAACATCGATGAGAGAGATTATCTATTGGCCGTCTCCTGCATGCCCCCCACTGGGGATCGGGCCCACAACCTGGGCACATGCCCTGACCGGGAATCTAACTGGCGGCCTCTTGGTGCCTGGGTCAGTGCTCAACCACTGAGCCACACCGGCTGGGCTCTTCTCCAGCCTTTTAATGTCGTGTCCCAGGACTCTTTCCCTCCCTTCACATTCTGCGTGGTTCCAGATCTGCGAGTCCGACCCCAGCTCTCTGGGCTGCACACGTCTTTCTCCACCTCGGCGGTGCCCAGGCACTCCCAGGTCAGCAGGTGCAAAGTAGGGCCAGCCCAGAGCCTTCTTCCGAACGTGCCCCTCGCAGTCCACAGCGTCTGCCCACCTTCAGCAGCCAGGCACTCGTCATCGCCCACCCGGTTACTGTGGCCCCTGCCCACTTCCAGCCTCATGTCCCACACTGCCACCAGGGTGAGATTTCTAAAACACCTGGCACTGGGGGGGTCTGTGGCTTATAGTCCTCATCTAGCTTGTCAGCGTCAGCAGATAGAGTCTAACCTGAGCTTGGCATGTGGATCTTTGTGATTAAGCCCAGTGGTTCCCAGCTGGGAGAAGAACTAGCCTGCAAAGGGGCCTTTTGAAAACACTGAAGTGACAGGAACCCAGTGGAATTCCAGTCTCCGTAAACCCTACTGACTTCTTCAGAAACGAGTCCTACTGTGTCACCAAGCCTTCTCTCCTTTGGGAACCTGCTTGGCTTTTTGGACACCTGTGGGGCATGTGGTTAAATGGGGTAGGAAAATCTTGGTGTTTCCACTTTGTCTTGATAGTTTTGGAGAATTCTGTTTTTCCTTCATGACCTGACATGAATTCTGTTAGAACCACAATTAGTTTGATCAAACACCCCTGCCATTAGGTGTCAGACCATTCTGGAAGAGATTGGGGGTGAGTGAGGCCAGTCTGTTCTCTGGTTCCTCTGTGGTGGTCAGGATAACCTAAACCCTGTGATTATGGGCTCCGAGGGCCCTTTGGAGCTACAATGTGGACTGGTTGGTGAAGCAGCTTCATCATATCATCCCCTAGTTCACTGAGTGATTACTTTTAAAAGCACCTGGAACTGCCTGTCATTACACCCACGTCTCAGGAAACCTCATGCTACCTGTTGCCAGTGCTGACATACAGCTGGTGGCACTGGGAAGGGTGTGGACTTTCTGAAGCTTATTGGTGTGTTTTTCAGCATACAACAAATGTCAGAAAATAAATTCCCTCGGTACAACATCATACCAGGAGAAAAAGAGCAAATGTTTTCTAAGCATGTTATTCCGGTGGTGGAAGTCTCAACACCAGACAGATTGGACCTTTGGCCTGAATGGGCTCCTGTGGGATGGTAGCTTTGACCTTTGACGTGTTGTTGGCTGGAACCCCACGTCCTGAGCTGAATTTCTCTCTCTTGTGTTCTCCACAGAAGCCCCCTGTGCCACGCCCTTGATCTGCAGCTTCGGGAGGCCGGTGGACCTGGAGAAGGACGACTACCAGAAGGTGGTCTGCAACAACGAGCACTGCCCCCACAGCACCTGGATGCACCTGCAGTGCTTCTACGAGTGGGAGAGCAGCATCCTGGTCCAGTTCAACTGCATCGGCCGCGCCCGCAGCTGGAATGAGAAGCAGTGCCGCCAGAACATGTGGACCAAGAAGGGCTACGACCTGGCCTTCCGCTTCTGTTCCTGCCGCTGTGGGCAGGGCCACCTGAAGAAGGACACAGACTGGTACCAGGTGAAGCGGATGCAGGATGAGAAGAAGAAGAAGTCAGGGTCCGAGAAGAACACAGGGAGGCCCCCTGGTGAGGTGGTGGAGGAGGCAAAAAAGTGCAGGCCCCCAAACAAGCCCCAAAAAGGCCTGAACCATGACCTCCCGCGCCGGCATTCCATGGACCGGCAGAACTCCCAGGAGAAGGCGGTCAGCGCCGGGGCCTACGGGGGCCGCTCCCCCTGCGCCTCCCCCGGCCAGTCCCCACCCACTGGCTACTCCATCCTCTCCCCTGCCCACTTCAGTGGCCCCCGCTCCTCCAGGTACCTTGGGGAATTCTTAAAGAACGCCATCCATCTCGAGCCTCACAAAAAGGCCATGGCCGGGGGCCACGTGTTCCGAAACGCCCACTTCGACTACAGCCCGGCGGGGTTATCGGTTCACAGGGGCGGCCACTTCGACACGCCCGTGCAGTTCCTGCGGCGGCTGGACCTCTCCGAGCTCCTCACTCACATCCCCAGGCATAAGCTGAACACTTTCCACGTGAGGATGGAAGACGACGCCCAGATGGGCCAGGGCGAGGATCTGCGCAAGTTCATTCTCGCGGCCCTCAGTGCCAGCCACAGGAACGTCGTAAACTGTGCCCTGTGTCACCGGGCGCTCCCGGTGTTTGAACAGTTCCCACTGGTGGATGGAACTCTGTTCTTAAGCCCCTCGAGACATGATGAGATCGAATATGATGTTCCTTGTCACCTTCAAGGTACAGGTGTTGATTCACCTTGCCTGCTTTACATTTGTTGAGAGCTGGAAAGCAAATGATGGGATGCCTCTGTTCTGGCTCAGTTTTAACTGGTGGTGCTTTTTGTTCTAGTCAGGTCCTGGGTAACATGTGAATATTTCAGCTTTGCCTGGGGAGGGGGTGGGGGGTGGCCTGTTCTACTCTGTCGTCGTCACTGTACCAATAGTACAGTTGTCCTGGTGGGTAATTTTATGATTTTGTTTTACTGTAATTTGAAGAGAGGATTCCTGGTGTATAGATTTTCATAATTGGGAGAAAATTTAGAGAAGGAATTGCAAAAAATGTCACTCACTGTAAAGTAGTGGCCTTTGAGACCTGTGTCAGTGTACCCAGCAAGCTATGTATTCTCTCTGATCCTTGTAAGCACATGAAAGTAGGGTCAGAAACTGCCAAGGTGTTCTTAGATTCTTTGAATTAATCTTGACATTTTTGAAAGATGAGACTTTCTTGATAGCAACAAAAGGAAAATGGAGGATTATTAAAAACTCACATATTACCTTGGTAGTGAGGGTTAGGAGCTTATTAATGCTGTGGATGACATGCAGGGACTTGGACATTTCAACGGTAAGTTGAATGACAGAGGGTGAGCAGTCTGTCAATGCATGTGACTCTGTTGAATCTGTAATGACGGCTGTTATATACCTTTATAACTTTAAAAGTGTGCTAGAAAGGCCTGTGGCGAAAATGGTACACCCCCACCTGACCCCTGCTGTCTCCGTTCCCAGGGTTATTAAGTCTTAAGTGGTTCTTCAGGTTTTTACCATCATAATTTAAAGACTTATCTTCATTCTCCAATTTTAGATATTACCTACTGACTTAACCTTTAAGGTGGATGAGTATGTTTTCAGGATCTTCCCTGTGCTCGCTGTCTTTCTATCATCATTCTCGGATAAGCCTTCATGTTTTTTTACTCTCAGTATGGAACTATTTAGCATTGAGCCAGGAAGTACAGTTACATCTATTTCCTATGTAAGTACCTTTTGTAAGTGAAGTGAAGTTAATAACTGCTTCACGTGTCATTTGCTTAGCCTCTTGTGAATCTTTGGCTGGTTGTCCTCACTCTGCAGCAGCAATACAAACCACCTTTCAAAATCCTCCCCATGTACCTGTGACACTTTCTGAACTTTTTTCCAGACCTTTCCCTCGTGGAGCCTCCGTCCTCCTGCTCCTGTCTGTCCTGGCGCCCTCCATGCCTGCTGTGCTGCCCAGTGCCCTCCTGGGATCTCCCGGTTCTTTCCTATGTTTTACCTTCTGTTTCCTAGACTCCACATTTCTTTGTCCTTGGTTTATTTCTTCAATTTATTAAACATCCTCTATGAGCTTTCTGAGAAGGGGAGCATGTAAATAGATGTTTTAAGAGCTTGAAAGTCTAATAATATCTTAAGTTTATCTTCACACTCGATTGTTGTTTGGTTGGGGATACTCTTCTAAGTTAGTTATTTTTCCCCTTGGACTTTCAAAGGTGTTTCTTCACTGTCTCCTGTCTTCCAGTGTTGCTTTGGGAAGTCTGATGTTATTCCTGTCTCCTTTTATCACCTATCCTTGGAGGGTTTCAAGATTTCTTTCTTTCTCCCTAGTATTCTGAAGTTTCACCATGATATGGGTCTTTTTTTTATCTTCTCGTTCATTGTATAGGGTGCTTTCATGGCTTTTTGACTTTGTAATCTCACGGTCTTAAGTTTGGGGAAATTTCCTTTTGGTTTACCAATATATATATATTGGCCCTATTGTGCATCTCTATTTTAATTCTGCTTTCCGGAAGATTTTCTTGACTCTTATTCCAATATTTTATTGAGTTTAAAGATTGTGTTCTCATATTTATAATTTCTAAGAGCTCTTTTTAATAGTGTTCTGGTCTTGTTTCATGGATGCAATTCTTTCTCAGCAAGGAGAGGCAGCTGAAGTTGCATGATGTGCCTTTGTTATAACAAAAGTTAGTGGTTTAAAACAGTGATAATTTATAAATACTCACGGTTCTATGCATTGTTTGGGTAGGATGGCCTCTCTCACATGTCTAGCAGTTGGCAGGCTACTTGGCCTCAGGAGTCTCAACTAGAATTGCTCATCCCTGTTATGTGTGACCTTTCATCTCCCAGTGGGCTAGCCGGGCCTTCCACAGTCTCAGGACCCCGTTCAAGAGGGCGAGAGCTGCTCCCTGTGGACACTGAAGCTTGGACCCGAGTAACATCACTTCTATCACATTTTGCTCCTCAAAATAAGTTGTAAGACTAGCCCAGATTCCGGGGATGATTAAACAGACTGCTCCTTGGTGGAAAAAGTTGCCTAGAACATGTGGTTCCTCGTGTACCCTACCTGTCCCCTTGCAGCTCTACTCCCCACTCTCCCCTGTGCCTGCCGTCCTGTTTGAGAGGTTCCCGTTTGCTGTTCCCCCACCCGGTTTCTGACCTCATGTTCTGGTTCACGTTTGAGGTACCTCATGGTTTCATAAAAGATGGAGTCTGTGGGGTTTTTTTTCCTTGTTCTTTGTACTGTTTAGGGATGATTTTAGAGGGTAGTAAGTTGAAACACCTTTAGTTCACCATTTTTAGACTGGAAATACTCTTTCTGAAGGTGAGTGAGGGTCAAGGGTAGAGGCTACATGAGAGTAGTGTTCTTTTTCCATTCATGATGGACAAATTCTTTTCATATAATTCATTCATCAACCAGTCAAACTTACAAATTTCATGTGCTGGGTAAGCTTAGTCCTTGCTTTTCATCAGTTTATAATCTTAGGATGTATGATGCTTTTATAAGAATGTAACTAACTGCCAGGCCTATGGCCCTAGTACTGCCCGGGGACCTAGTAATATCTATCCAATTATGTATATTAAGCATCCTATCATTTCCAAGGAGGTAGGGGCCACTTTGGCCTGGGCAGTCGGAGGCAACGCACAGGCCTGTATCAAAGGCAGGCTGGTTTCCAGCAGAGGTTCTAGCCACACCAGGTGTTTGTTGCTAAGGAGAGAGAACAGTGTGCAAAAGAATAGTGGTTTTAAAAAGTCAGGGGAGAGAGAGGGAGCTGGAGAGAACCTTTGGTTGAGCAGAGATTGCAGAGTGGAGAATGAGTGGCGTAGATGGAGACCAGGTTGTAGGTGCACTTTGAAACCATTGTAAAGAGCTTTGCCATGTTCTTTATGGGGCTTCGACATGTGCCAGTGTTTTTATAGTCTCATCTCGGAGAAGTTGACGCAATCTTTTTTATAACAAGCTAGGGTAAATCACTTCTTCCATCACAGAGTCCCAGCCATGTATTCATTAAAGCATTTTCAACTCCAATAGACAGGCCACGTTCCAGGCCACAGATTCCAGGCTGCAGCTGATTATATGCTGCTGAAATACCGTATTTCCAGTGCTGGCCCCTGGGTTGTCGCTCCCTGGCCATTCCCTAACCCTTCACTGCCCTCCAGCCTCCAGCTCCAGCCTCTGCTCTCAGACTCTTCCTCTGATAGGATGTGTTGGTTTAACTTGAATGATGTATTGAGATTGATCGAACAAGAAAGTGTTTATTGTACTTCTTTTCCACTTGGAACTACAGGGGACAGTTCTCAGGAATTGCTGCTTTTTGTTTGATCTCACAACCCTGGAGTTCAGAAATTTAAATTTCTCTGTGTTTAGGACAATGTGTAACAGTAACTGAAACAAATCTCGAGACTCAGCCCACACCAGGGGTTCCCATGAGTTCGTCTAGAGGTTAAGAGTCAGGCAGGTATGAGTTGAAGTCTGGACTTTGCTCTTCATTATCTTTATGAACTTGGGCAAGCTGCTCACACTCTCTGTTCCACTTCCTCCTATCCGGCGTGGGAATGACAATACCTACTTTATAGAGCTGCTGTGAGGGGTAAGAGAGATGCTTCACGCAGCCTCACAGCGCAGTGCCAAGCCCTTGGTAAGCCCTCTGTAAACCTTCCCTGTCAACCTCATCATTATAGTCATTGCTGCCAACGCCTGGCCTCTGTGTGTCCCAGCCCCAACCCACCCTAGCAGCTGCCGGGATGTCGGAATAGCTGAGAGCGGTGGTAAGTCAGTCCAGGAGGGGGATTGGAAGTGAAATGTTCGGTCTTCTAGATGCTTGAATTGACATACTGAAATGTCCCCGGGCCACTCTGAGTGGGGATGGTGTGAGAGAGCTTTTATTTTCAGTCCCCTAGAGCAGAGATAGACCAGGGCAAGAAACTCTTGTCACCCTGCCCCCAACCTTGACATAGAGACCCCCGAGGTTATATTGTCTTTGGCTACTCACATACCTCATCCATTCATTCAACACAGTTTTGGAGTGCTTTCCACATTGCGGACACTGCTAGATTCTGAGCCTACAAGGGTGAGTAAGACCCAGTCCTCAAGAGGAAGGAACATGCTCGAACAGGTCTCTGGAGCACTGCATGCCCTTCTCCAGTGTAAGGAGCGCGTTGGCTTTTAGCACCGCAGAGTGAGGAGCCGTGGTCCGGCTGACGGCGGCGAGCAGCCCATGCTGAACGAGAAGCCCTGAGAGCTGTTCTCCTGGTAGCAGTTCGCAGCACTGGCCCTCCTGCCCCCGCAGCACTGCTGCTCCGCGGTGCCCGGCGGATGCTGAGCATTCTGGTCCTTCCCAGTGATTCGACCCCGACCCTGCCATATAAACTGGGCGGCATTGCTTCTTAGGTGTTAATAAATAATGGAGGAATGGGGATGTGACTTTCAAGAGACTAATAAATAACAAGACATTGGACTCCTTTTAAGATGCCACTTACAAGTAAGATATAATTCTGGTTCCTAAATTAGATGTGGTGATGGCTGAGCAATTTTGGAGACAAGGACAGTTAACATAGTAATTTTGGCTGTGGTATAATTCTGGGCTACCAATACCAGGACAGACTTTTGACTTTATCATGGGACTTGTTAGCAGATGAGAGATCCCACGAGGACAGACCAGTGTTGCTGGTTCAGTCTCTGTATGCCACACATAGGCTTCGAAGTAGAAGGTCCCACGTGGTCACAGGCTGGTTCTGAACACCTGAGGCTTGGTCATTTGAGTTTGGATGTCTGCACTAGAAACCTGGCAGCACTTTTTAGAACAGTGAATTGAAGCGATGTTTAATAAGATTGAACTTAAGGTACATGTTCCATTGACAATAGTTGTAATTTATCATTATTCTAAAAGGACAACTTGGGGATATGATATCTGTTCTGCTTTTTATATTTATCCAAATGATATCATCTTTTCTTACAATTGATAGATGAGCTAATTTGGAGACTAAAGGTGATTTCCCTGATGGCCACTCTCAGCATTGTGTCTCTGTGCACAGGGAGACTCATGCATCTGTACGCGGTGTGCGTGGACTGCTTGGAAGGAGTGCACAAGATCATCTGCATCAAGTGCAAGTCGCGGTGGGATGGCAGCTGGCACCAGCTGGGCACCATGTACACCTACGACATCCTGGCTGCCTCTCCGTGCTGTCAGGTTGGTATTGGCCCCCCAGAGTGTGCAGTGGGTGACATGAGGCTGCTCTCCCCAAGCGAACTTAGAGGAGTTAGTCAGCACTGTAGTTATGGTGGGGAGGCGGCGGGCCTGGGGGAGGTGCTTTGGGAGTGAACATTGGTGAAACTCCCCCAAGTCCAGCATTGATGGTGGATTTACTACAGTGTGGTGTAGCTGTCACTGGACTACCGTGCAGTCGCAAAAAGGGATATTGTAGAATAATGATTAATTATGTGGGAAATACTTTCAGTATTTTAAGTAAAAAATGATTCTATATGGCATATAAATGGATTATAAATGCTTCCATTTGTGGAAAAAAAACATCAAAAGGGATCTGCTTTCCAGTTATCAGGTGGTTTCAGATGTGGGATGCTGAGCGGTTCTTCAATTTTCTTTTTGCTTACTTATATTTTCTAACGTTTTATATGCTTAACATATACTGAGCTTCTAATAAGCAAAAGTTATTATTTAAAAGGAAGAAGAAAGCTTCACTTTCTTTAATAGATAAGATTTCTTTTTGGTTTCCTTCCTGTGGGACGGGACAGTTCCCCAGGAACTGCTGGCTCGTCAGGTGTGTGAGGTCGACACGAAAGAGGCATTTAGCACTGCGGAGAGAGCACCTGATACTTAGCTGTCACCAGCAAAAGAGGGAAATAGTAACATCCGAAAATGTTAAATAAGTCCATAGAAACACAGACGACAACATCCTTGGAAATGTGTTGGTTTATTTCCAAGTGCTCTGAAAAAGCAAGACCTTGTTATATAATTCCTTGATCTTCGTGGGTAGGAGAGAGGTTTTTGTTTTTGTTTTGCTCCTCAGTGGCCAAGTCTGGCTTTTAATAAAGTGATAAACACTTTATTAGTGCACTACATAATTTTGCATCGTTAGCATCATGGTGTGATTTGTGTGAAGAGGATATCCTTACTATTCAGTTTTTTCAGAGGAAACCCTCTGTTGGATGAATTAAGATGTTGGCGGAGTCAGTTTTTCAGCCATACGTTGTCTATGCTCGTGATCTTAAAGGTGCAGTAGAGCCGTGAGAGACCTAATGGCCATCCAGAGCCTGTTGTTTGGTTCCAGGATCGGCTCCTTTTACGCTCTTCTAATACGTGGGCCACCTTTCCATTCTAAAGCTTGGCCTTGAGATGTCACAGCCCTTCAGTTACTCACTGTGGCATTTTCTACCATGCACTGTGCCTGCAAGCGCCAGCTCACAGGTGAGAGGAACAAAAGGAAGTGGCCCCTCTCTTCACACACACACCAGAGAGGATGAGCTTTCAGAGAAACAAGAAAATGAGAATGTTTGGGCCTGTAACTCGTAGAGTGTTAGCACCTGGCAGGACCTGGGAGGTGGAGTCCCTCCTCGTTTCCCACACATAGTGGAGGCCTAGAAAATGCAACTACTCTACACAGCTGAGTCATAGCCATCTGAAACCTGTAACTGCCAGGCTGGTGGTCTCTCCTACACCACTGAAAGGCAATGGGGTTATTTCCTTACCTTAGAGAAAAAAGCAGAATGGCACCCTGCACACCCAACCTATTGGACTTATTATATCTTTCTTCCTTGAAACAACTTTAAGCCCAGACCTTTATTTTTTGCCCCCTCCCTAGTGAAATGGAAAACATATTTGACTGCTGTTTAGCTTTATAGACACCCATGAACTTGACTGTGAGGGCGTAAGTAAGCGTTAGACATAGCTAAAGGAATCCAGGGAAGTCTTCCAATAAAAGCTGGAACCCAAAGTAAGCACCAATCAGTTATTAGAAAGGAATAACAAGTTAAAGAGAGGTGTTTGCTCAGCATCTCACTTTTTCTGTTGCTCAAAGAGATGAGTCAGTTTAAAGGCAGGTTATCTCAGGTTAGAGGAAGGCTAGGAGCCTCGGCTCGGGAGGAAGCGACTTTGGTTCAGGTCTCAGCCCTTTGCTTCCTAGCTGTGTGGTCTTGGGTGTGTCACTTTATCCCTGTATGCCTGTTTCATCATCTGCACATCCACACCTCACCAGAAGTGTTTGGGGACAAAATGAGGTTATACATTTTTATTAGATTTTTGGAGTGAATCTAAATTGAGTCTGTTGTATTTATCATTTCTGGCTACTCACTTAGGCCTATTGGTGAAGACCTAGTCTCTCCATTAGAGAGGCCCGGCCATGAAGGAAGATACTGTGCTCCTGGGTCCCAGAAGCCCCAGGGACAGACAGCACTGCTTCCTGATTGTTCATTTCACTGGAGCACTCGAGGGAAATTTTATTTTTACACAAAGAAAACACACGTAGTGAGGAGTAGAATGAAAACGTATGAATTTTTAAAAGAAACTCAGAATCTTCAAAGAAGTTTAGACCGGTTTGGGTGCTGCACCTCAGGAGAGAAATGAGGAGTTACTCTTTCAGACTAACGATTAATGCTTGAATATACATCTCACTTACCCTCTGCTCTGTCTGCTCTGTTTTCGGTCGTAAAACGGATGCTTGAGGGAACCCCGGCTCAGCTCCCGGCTCTAACAGCCTGGCGTTTGGGTTCAGGGAGGTGGGCCTCTGGGCGGCGGGCGTTCACGCGGCTGTGTGTCCCCAGGCCCGGCTGAACTGCAAGCACTGCGGGAAGCCGGTGATCGACGTGCGCATCGGGATGCAGTACTTCTCCGAGTACAGCAACGTGCAGCAGTGTCCTCACTGCGGGAACCTGGACTACCATTTTGTGAAGCCATTTTCCTCCTTCAAAGTTCTGGAAGCTTATTGATGAAAGCTTTGCTTTGGTAATAGCTATTTTATTGATCCTGTTACTTTATTACGTATCTTTTCTAGGGAAACATTCTGTGATGCTCATTTCTTTTCTAACGTGAAGGAGAGTTCCTTCGGGTGCGTGGCCACGCACGGGGCCACCGCGGCCTCTGCTGGCTGCCGAGGGTCAGTCTGCGGTCGCGGCAGAGCCCGGTGGGCAGTCCATGACTGCGGCGTGGGGTCACCGCACAGAGCGGGCACGCAGCCTCGGAGGGGGTGGGGGTGGGGGTGGGGGCATTGGCGAGGCACGCGTGGCTGCACACTAAGCGTGAAGGAGGCGGGCACACTCTCACCGATCCCTGACCCCCTAAAGACCACTCCAGGTGTTCCCTGGGCTCGGGGAGCCCGTGACCAGTGAATGTAAGCCTGTGCCCCAGGGCTGGCGGCTGCGCCGGCTCGTCCGCCTGCCGCTGCCCAGGGGCACTCAGCGCTCACCGCGAGCCCGAGGGCTGTCCCAGCGCGTCATTGAACTGAAACTGACTTCCAAGTGCGGCCTGCGCAAGCTCTTGGTGTCGCAATCGTTGGAGGTAAGCTGACCTTTCACGGAGAGAATCTACCCCTGGACTCGGAACCGACGCACTGATTCAGGAGAGCAGAAAGGCAGAACATGGAGAGTTGCATTTGGTCACATTAGCTCCTCCGGAAAACCCATGAACAACACGATTTGGGCGGCAGCGATCTATGGAGGCTGCCCCGTGGACGTGCCATTTCCGTCAGCCCCTCCCCACGGCCCGCCTCACAGCCGCAGACGGGTGGGTGCGGAGCAGGCATGGCCACGCCTACCTTCCCCCAAGTTGCTTACAGCGACGTTTTCCCCGTGTAAGGCTCAGTTTCCACAACCAGAGATTTGACCCAAGGAAGGAAGGAAAAAAATATTTTTGAGGATATGAGGAAAAGAATACTTTTCATAGTTCTGTTTTAAGTGTATTTCATTTTGGAAAAATCAGATTGTAAGGTATAATAACAATATGTTTGAAAACAGATCATTCTAAAGATCTCCACGATACTTTCCGTTGGTGAAAAAAGATAACGTAAATTTTTATTTTGTCTGAGCATTGGGCTTTCCAAAATACAGCTTTCTTTTCATTAGATCTTGGTGGTTTAAATAGACATATACCCTGTGCCCTTATAGAACTGGAATTGGAAAATCATTTCTCAAAAATGAATTTGGTCATTTCAAATATGATATACATACATGCTAAATGAATGCTTAAAATATAATTATTTTATGGGTAACCAAATTTGGGGTTACGTGAACATTTATATTACTGACTTGGTTTATACCATTTTTTCCCCTCAGAAAAACAGTTGTTTTTCTTTTCAGAAGTGTTTAGGCATTAGCTTCAGTTCTACATGAACTATTTGAGGTTTTGTTTGAAATAACACATCCTTTAGAACCCCTATATTCATATTCTTCATCTTTCAGTTGGGATGATTGTAATTTGGTTCACCACATCTGGTTTGGTGTTTAATGACCTGAAAAATGTTTCCCACGGTGGGGGAAATGCTCTATGCCAATAAGAAGCAGAAAAGCATTATTGGACTGACAGTATTTGATGCAACTGAAAGAGGTCTCTAGGACACAACCTTTGCAAATCTGTCTTTGATACGCAGAGCCGTAATTGTGCGTTAACTGTTTCCTTGTTGATTCTCTCATGTACCCAGGTACAAGATTTCTCTTGTCTTTGGAGCACCATTTGGATTTTACTTCTGAATTTAAAATGAATGGTAAAAATATGTGTAGTGCTGTTCTTTCTCCCCCTCCATTTCTGTAGAGAAGCCTGCTTGTGTTGTTCTCAAGCTTCAGGTTTACACATAGATCACATTCAGCAAGCTCCTCGTCTAAAACCGCTCTGAGTGTCGTGTCTGATGCATTCAGTGTTTTCTCCTTATGTTGTTTTCTACTCCCTGAAACATAAGTATGATGCAGATTCACTGTAAGTAGGTAAAATGCTTTTGGCCTTTATTTTGATGAAAAAGTTAGGATCCTATGGATGCTGCAGGTACATAAAAGGAGAGGCATATCATATCTGAGAATATCTTTTGCCTTCAAGGCATTGCATTCTTGTCTAAAATGGAAAATTTGGCTGATTTGAGAATAAAATGTAATTGATTATATAGTAATGTGAAGAATGAAACTTGTTTTGGAAATATGCTGACCTTAATATTTTCCCCCATGCATTCTCAAAGTACTTTGCTCCTAAGTACCTTGATGGAAATTGGAATATGTCAAAAAAGATGATTATTTTTGTTGTAGTTTGGATATTAAAAGATATTAGTCCCCCCAAGAGATCGATTTTTTTGTTTTTCTGATGACTAGTGCTCAATAGTAGAACCACTCATAAGTGACTTATAATTTCAAAGTGATTTTTCATCTACTCTAACTTTTTTATCAATTATTTTAAAGAGTTATATACCTTGAACAAATAAAATTACTAGTTTAGTGAGAAGACAATTTCTGATGGTCTCATCATTTTCTCTTCAGTTCTCTTCAGCCAACTCAGTTCTCCACTTTCTTCTGGTTGCATCTGAAGCAGCTAATGTACCGGGTTTATACCTGAAAAGATAGACATTGGCCATGACATTGGGGAGTGGGGTCACTTATTCCATTCTAATTAAGAAAGAGCTTTCCCCAGTCTTTATTTTGTAGTTTTTGTAAAAGAAGTTCATTTTCAGAGTAAAAAGTATTTTTATATCTGTTTGGGGGAAATTAATCAGAAAAGAACATTATTAGGTGCTTAAGCCCTAAAACTAACAGATGTACTTATACATAACTTATTAGACCACCAAAACTAACTGCTGAAATTTTTCATTTTGTCCTATAAGACCAATCCTTAACCTACAGTGCTCTCCTGTGCCAGGGCCAGTAACTCCAGTTTGCTCTTCTCTTTAGTCTCATGGTGCAGCTGTTGAGTAATTTTAGCTGGAGACTTGGGAGGCACTAAGGAGAAAGTGCTCTTGTTTTGGTTCCTACAACCAGATGCTGCCTAACTCAGCTCATTTCCATGTCCTGTCAACTTAATTACTATTACAGGTAATTGAAAGAAAATGTAATGGATGGGCCTCTTTAAAACCAGTTCAAAAATGTATTCTTGTCATTAAAGATTTCTTGTCAAGATGTCTTGGATTGCACTTTTGTGGAGGGAAGACTGTGTAAATAACTCAAGAATGTTGATAAAATTGAAACATTTGGTTATGGAATTGTGTATGGTGTTAGAAGGTTTCTGTTTGTGAAATATATGTAATAAAAATAATAAAATTTCAGAAACTAACATTCTACTCTCTTCAGTGTGTCACTTTATTTTTTGAGCTTGGCATTGTTAACAGGAAAGATAGTGGAAAGGACTGTCTGAGGTTTTGTTCACCATTCAGGTGACCATTTCCAAGTCACTATGAAGCTAATAAAAACGGAACTTTTTATGCTGTTTGAAACTGCGGTTTGTCACATGTAAACTTCCTTTGCAACAAAATAAGCATTCTGTATAACAGTTGATTCCCTGTGAATAATCTAAAATTGTTGTTCTGGTTATAGGGAATTCTATCGAATGGATAGATAATCCTATTCAACAGATGTTTGCTTTGGTTCCTAGGCCTGTAACATTTTTCATAATGAAAAGATTTGGTCATATGCGTCTTCATTACAAGAAAATGGAAACTGAGTTGTAATTAAACTTCTTGCTGATTTTATGCACTTTGATCAAGTGTAGTTTATCTTTAAAATCTCCTTGTCCCCTCACTTCTCTCCTCTTTTTTGAGCCCTGCTCAGTTATTAAAACATTCAGTAACATTTAGTAAGTATATTTTAAAGCCTAGATATATGCTCAGAAAGTTTTGGTTGGTTGGTGGGTTTTTCTTTTTGGCCATTCCCCTCTCCCCATCTCCCCTGGCAACCATCAGCCTTTTATCTGTATCTTTGGGTCTGTCTGTTTTATTTTGTTTGTTCATTTGTTTTTCTAATTCAGATTCCACACATAAGTGAAATCATATGTTATTTGCCTTTCTCGGGCTGGCTGACTTTATTTCCACAACACCGTCTAAGTTCGTCCATGTTGTTGCCCTTCATTTCAGATATTCTCAGCCAGCGTATTGAAACCCACAGAAGCATTAGAACACAGGGTAAGATGTGGAAATGTGGGAGAGGGAAGAGTCCAGTCTGCCAGCGCTTCAGAGCCTGTCTTACCACGTATTTACTGCAGACCGCCGAGGCACGCGTTTTATTTTGTTTAAAGGCTCAAGTCTTGGGATATTGTGATTTCTACTAGTGTAGTTTATGTCAACAGAATTCCTTTGCAATGGTAAGGAAAGTATAGTTCTTACTGTAGTGAAGAGGAAAAAACCAAAGTTATACAGTGATTGTTAAGAATTAAGTTTAATTGAAGAAAAATCTTTTGTTAGTAGTTTCCATTTCTTTAAATCTTGCCTATATTGTTTTGACTTAAATTTGGCAGCAATTGGATTGCTAATTATGTAGGCTGTTTCTCTAGTAATGAGTTACATTTTGGAAGGAAAAAAACTTGCGTTGAGCTTTGGTTTGTTTCATGTTCTCAGCTCTCCATACCTGGGATAAACCTTGTCCAATGAATATGAAATATCTTTGAAGACAGTAAAGTGCTGTACAGTGGTACTATTTGAAATAATGTATTTGTAAAGCATGTTTTCGTCTAATGGCAGCCATTAGCATTGTGATAATTATTTTGTATAAGCTTGATCTGATATTGATTTGCCTTAGGGACAGCAAAAATGAAAATTAACAAAGCACTTTTTTTTAAAAAAATACTTTTTCTTTATTGATTTTTAGAGAGAGGGGAAAGAGAGAGAAAGATAGAAACATCGATGAAAGAGAACATTCATTGGCTGCTTCGTGCATGCCCCCCCACTGGGGATCGGGCCCACAACCTGGGCATGTGGTCTGACCCGGAATAGAACCAGGAACCTCTTGGTGCATGGGTCGATGTTCAACCACAGAGCCACAACAGCCGGGCAACAGAGCACTTTATCTTATGGAGTTCAGTGGAACAACACTGACTGCATTTGTCAGGGTTCAAATGGGATCGGCCACCACAGCACCATTTCCTGGTGATGGACACCATGCCAAGTGGTTATGATACACTCGATTGAAAATTTAGATCTTATCTTAAAATCAAGTTTAGAACAACCTAATTATATTCCTCGTAAACCTAAAAGTGGAAAAGTCATCACCATAATAGTCATAGGATTTAGAGATGCTCGAATTTAGAACAAGGGCTGTGGTGGTTGTATTCATAAAAATATATGTTTGTTAAATTTCATTGAAAAACTCTTTTTAGAGAGAAACTGAGTCCTAGAGAACTTCAATCTAAATAGTAAGTTCACATAGTTATTGGCTAGCTGAGAATTAAGTCTAGATTTCGTCTCCTAGTCTTCAAAATGAGATCAGTGAATAAGAACGTTGTTTTCCATTGAGAGATGGCTTTGGGCTTGTTTTGACAAGGCAACAGATTTAAAAGGTGTGGTAGCCCTCGATTCAGCAGACTAGGTGCTGAAATGGAAGTAATTCTGAGAGCCCTTGCTGAGGCCCCTGTATAAGTGTGATAAGCCCATTTGAAAGCATCCCCTAGTTTTAGGAAAAATAAACAACAAATCAACTAAGAGAGAAAAATAGTATTTGAAATCAATAATTGTGTCCTCTATCCTGATTTTTCATACATTAATGTGTTGACATCTGTTCCCTTTTGTTAAGATAGATCAAAGCTTGAGGAGAGCCGTGTCTGGGTGCAAGGTGACATTTCAACAGTCTACACTAAGAATCCATCATTTTATTCACTTTGGGATCTAACTCTGAGATGATTTTGGATTCAAGCATGCCAAACTGCCATATTTGATAGCATTGATCTATCTAATTTGGGCAGGGTTTTCTTTTTTGACTAGCTTTTCAAACAGTTTCTCTTGGTGTGTTTCATTTTCAATTGCTCACTATCTTGTCTAAAGCTCTTTTTGAGTTGTTAAATCTGATTGTTGTTTATTTGAATTCCACACAACCTTAGGGGGGAAAAGTGCTGGTTACAGGTTTCTTTTAGAGAAGTAAACTTTTTCATGGCTTGTAGGAGCTATCTTTTGAACTAATAATTAGCAGTATTCCCAGTTATTGCAAAACCATGGGTTGGCAATCAGTGCCTTACACCTTCTTGTTATTTTCATCACTTTAACAATTCACATATTTTTCTGAAGCTCTGATGACACAGCAAGTGGTTGATGAAGGAAGTAAGGCCAGGTGAAGCCCCTAGGCTACAGTTTGAGGCTCCAGAAAACCCTGGTTCTGAAAGGAGAGTGGTTTGGGCCGAGAGCGAATGGCAGGCGTCCTGGGGGCTGTTGTGAATATTTCAGAAAGCTTAATGGAGATTGTAACATTGCCCACCACAAGGCTGCACAGGATATCTAAAAGGTCAGTTTATTTTTGGCAGGAGTTCTAGCAACCTTGGTTATCTCATACTGCTCAGAAACACTAGCACTAACATATGCCTTTGATGAATAGTACATGAGAACACAAATGAATTATGACCTAATAAATGCTGTTTATTTTATAGACATAACCTTTCAAAACCAGTTAGGGTCATATTAGGTGGAAGTGGTGGTCTTTGGTGATGACAGAGTTGGGAAAATGCCATTTTTTTTTTTTTAAAAGTACATACTTTTTCTAATCCTTTTTACCTGTGATACTTTTGCCTATCTTTTCTGTACCTGCCCATCTCTCGTTCCCACCTTGTTCTCCTGCCTCTCCTGCCTTTTCTGTTGCATCAAGTTTCTTAGCCACTAGAATACAGTAAAAGTCCCTGGCAGACTCAAACCTGAGTTGGTCAATAAATCAAAAAAGTTAATTAAAAAAAAAATGCCTACAGTTGGAACAGATGAGTTGATGAATGGAAAGATAGAGACCATAAGCAGATGCACACTTACAAAGGTGGTCAACTGATTTTTGACAAAGGTGTAAAGAGGATTCAGTGAAGAAAGGATGGAATAACAAATGGAGCTGGGACAATTTGACATCCATATGCAAAATCTAAAGCAACCAACCTAACCTGGATCCATGCTCACACCATATTTCAAAAAATTAGCAACAAAGTAGATCACAGATCTAAATGTGAAATCTAAAAATGGACACATTGGATTGTAATAAGAGAACAAATGACCCACTTAAAAAATGGGCAAAATATTTGAACTGACACTTCACTAAAAAAAAAAAAGATGAACACATGATAAGATACTCATCATCAGTCATTAAGGAAATTAAATTAAAACCACAATGCAATACCACTACACACCTATTAGGATGACTAAAAAGTAAAAAAAATACCAATTGCTGGCACAGATGTGAAGTAACAAACTGTCATACGCTGCCCATAGGAAATAGTTTGGCATTTTCACAAAAAGTTAAACATATACCTATCATATGACCCAGCTGTTCCACTTCTGTGTATTCACCTGGAAAAAAGTCAAAGTGTGTCTCAGGAAGACTTGTTCATGAATGTTTGTAGCAGCTTTATTTGCCCATCAGCAGAACAATGGATGAACAATTTGTGGAATAGCTATACAGAATGATACTACTCAGCAAAAACAAAACAAAACAAAAAAAACCCATTGCACTGGCTGGTTTGGCTCAGCGGTTAGAGCGTTTGCCTGCAGACCAAAGAGTCTCAGGTTCGGTTCCAGTCAAGGGCACGTACCTTGGTTGTGGTTTGGTCCCCTGCCCTGGCCATGGTCCAGAGGGAGGCGACCAGTGGTTGTGTCTTTCTCACATCAATGTCTCTCTCTCCCACTCTATCTGAAGAAAAATGGAAAACAAACAGACAAAAAAACAACAACACTATTGATACTGGCAACAACATGTATGAATCCCAAACAATGACACTGAAGTGAAAGAAGCCAGAGGAAAAAGAAAGTACATCCTGTATGATTCCTTTTAGGTAAAACTTGAGAAAATGCAAATGACTCTATTGTGACACCAACAACCCCCTCCCCACCAAGATAATTTATATGCCATAAACATTTTATTTAAATTTAACTCAGGAATACACAGATGACAGTTTGGTCCTTTGGTTTGTTTTAACATGTGATACCTGCAATTGTAGGACCATTCCTTTTATTGTAAAATCGCCTTTTATGATGCGTTCTCTGACCGTACTTTCTCTTTAACAGAGATGGAGAACTTAAAGACACAAGAGAAACAATATGCATATAAAAACTCTAGAATTTTGCGGTTTTTGTCCCCTAATTGTTTACTGTTTTACACCTTACATTTAAGTCAACAATATTCTTACTGTTGCCTTATCTTTCCAAAACATCCTACTGAGTTATTGAAATGGTGTTTTTTATAATTTCATTTTTATAATTATATTTCATTGGTTTATGTACTATTTGTATTGACTTTATTATTGCAGTGACAAGTGTAACAGGCATAAGCAAAATTTGGGAACAAACACGACTAAGCTTTGGTAAGCACACAAACTGCTGGGAAACCCAAATGCAGACCCTGCAGCAGTGAGGTACCAGTGACCAGCATTCAGGGACTGAGCTCATTCACTGCGCAGTTTTACAAAATGAATTAGAGTCAGAGCACTTGCTGGACTGGCTAAATAAAGGTCAGTTGAGGGAGCTTTCCACTGCTGAGAGTACTACCTCTGGGTATGGGTATTAAGGTTTAAGTGAAGTAATGTAAGTCAAGTGCTTAGTGCAATTCCTGGCATGGAGTAAGTGCTGAAAATGTAGGTGCATGATCATTATGATCATGTATTTTATTTCAGAAAGCACTCTATAAAGTTAGGGCAGGAAGGCATTAGATATTGTCTGACTCAACACGTTTGTTTACAGATGGGAAGATGAGTCAACAAGACACATCAGCATGTAGGGCTGAAGATCGTGAGCCTCACCCAGCGGAACCCTAAGGAAGTTCCCAGGGGCTTCTTGCTAAAGGCTCCTAAAAACCTGGACAGTCTCATACTGGGGGAGGAGCTGCAGACCTTATGTCATACTCTTCAGAAAGCTGATCATCTGATAGCTGTGAACATTTTTTTAAAATTTTTGAGAGAGGTCTCTGCCTTTATTGGCTACTTGAGGGGGATGAAGGAGCTTCACCGGCCTGTGGTAGGTGATGCAGAAGTCACCAAGGTGGCCCATCATCTCAAGGCGTGATTTCCACCTGATTGAAGGTCTTGCCATTGTAGATGCCACCATCTCCGGCAGGACGGTCAAGTCCCACAGGTGCGTCCTCATCACCTGGGCCCTCCGTGGGCGTTGCCTCCGGGCGCGCAGGCGCTGGGCGGCTGTGCTGCTTCCTCCCGAGGCCCGGGTTGGGCCGCGCGGCCTCGGGCGCTGATGAGCCGCTCGCAGGACCCAGGGTGGAGACCCACGCGCGGCAGGGGAGCCCGCGGAAGGTCCGCTGCTGCTTCTGCTCCACTTCCACCATCGTGTGGGGTCTTCCGGAAGCCCTGTGAGCCTCCTTTAAAAACCTCGGCTGAATTCTGCTTCTGAACGGGCGGTGTGTGCAGCGGGGGCCAGCCCCAGCAGCCGGCAGGTAAGAGTGGGCGGGGAGAAGGCGTGAGGCTAAGTGGGTGAGCTCGGACTTCGCAGCGCGGTTTCGAGATTTCGTGAAAGCCCTACTTGCTTTCCCCCCACTGGGGTTTAGCCTCAAATTGAGACCTCCATTCAGAAACGTATTTCTTCTGGGGCTGGGAAATAACCTCTCCCCCGCGCTGGGTGGTGGACACAAGCAGCTGCGCCCCGTTGCGAGCGGGTGGCTTTTCACAAGCAGCTGTGCGCACGGAGGGCGTCGCGGTCCTGGCAGGCAGGACCCGCGGGCACCGCTCGGAATGCAGGGGAAGGGACAGGGCGCCGGCACCCGGTGCTGGCCTGGTGGCGCCCTTGGTGGTTACTGTTTGCTTCTGCCGCCGGCGAACCCCTGGACGGCATCTGAGCTAACAGCCAACCAGGGCCATGTACCTGGCGAGAGTGCTGGTCTCAGGTAGGAGGTTTGGGTCTAAATTGCGCCTCTTACACACTCAGGCAAATCCCTTAACCTTTCAGGACATGCTTTTGTGATCGCATCAAAACATCTATAGGACTTTCTGATATTCCTAAGTGAGATTTAATTAATTCATAGGCTAAATGAACTGATAAACTCTTCAGTGAGGAATAGACGTTAGAGGTTAATAAAGTGAGCAAATCAGTGACAGTCCCTTTATTTCCAAATTAAAAACACAGCAGCTATCCCAGATACCTTTGCCCTTTGGTGTGAAACAGCTGTGATTGTCTCACTAAAACCGGCCTTTCACATGTCATGCTTGATGTGCTAGATGCTGGTCAATTTAGCATTTATTGAGCACATGCTATGTGCAGGGGTAGGAGCTAAAAGAAGCCATGATAATTTGTTCAGAAGGCCGATCATCTTCATCATCTTTGATAGCTGAGAACATCTTTTAAAAACGTTGCCAAATTCAACTTTTGAAGTGTCAGCATTCCATGAGAGGTGAGGAGTCTCCTGGAAGTATAAACACCTAAAATAGTTCTTGCTAAAAATTACTGTGTTCATCTGTGATCTTCCACCCTAACACTGAAATGAAAATTTAAATGTAGATCCTTTTTTAAAAGAGCTAATTGAAATTCTAACAAAGCATTTGACTTTATAAGGTTTGCGTTTTTAGATTAAGAATTGTATTAGATTGAAAAAATTCAGAAGAGAAATTTCACTTGTGGCATGGCTCTCATTTACATTTTGTCAGGTTTATTAATGCATATGTGGTACATGGTGTGCAGGGAAGCAAGAGCTTTTTGAAGAATTGAGTTGGAATCTCAATCATTTTCTGGATGTCTTTGGTGTCTATGTAGGCAGGATATGGGCTGTGGTTCTTATTTTGAAATTGGGCTTTTGACTTTAAGCATTTATATGATGCTTAGTGTAAGAAGTACTAATGTTTTATTATAGCTTTTGGGGTAAAAACATTGCAAAGGAGGTAACAGGCATATTCTGTGTTTGTTGCCAAAAACTATGATTTCTCTTTAAGCTGATGTGCATACATGGATTTACATCAGTTGAAAATTTTAAGAAAATATCTCTAGCAAATCATCTAAGCTATAGGCGAAAGCTTATTCAGAATTGCTAAGTTCTAAAATTCAAAAGAAATGATTTTTTCTAAGAAGGACACTCTTTCAAACAGTCAAGTTGAAGGTGTTTGTTACTAGAACTGCCGCTATGCCAAGGTTGGAGCAAGTACTTTGGCACTTAATTTTCTTGGTTTCATGCAACATATAATTTTAATTAACAAGATATTAATGATGAGTCTAAAGATTTAAACCCAGAAGAAAGGAAATCATGTCTTGAAGTAAGTGGAGTTCTCTTCTGTGGAGATGTACGTGTTTTGAAAATGTATACTTCTGATTTAGATTTCAAATGTGGTCCCAGGAAGTAAGCTTTCAACTCTTCAAAGACAATGCTGTCTTTGTGGCTGTGGGAGGTACAAGTCGGGGGGATGGAGAGCCAGATGAAAACAGAGGTTTCCAGCACTGCAATGTCAGCCTTTAGCAAGGATGATCTTGTTGGGCATGAAGTTGCTCAGATGGGCGGTACAGAGACATTACTGGGCTGTTGTGCTCTGGAAACCACTTGATAGGATTCCATGTAGACATGCCACTGCTTATGCTCTTCTCGAGGGGAGGGACTATATTTGTGACATATATATTCATAATGCCTAGTACAAGGCCTTACCCTTTAGCAATCTGTTCAGTGAATGGACTGGCAGCTCTGTACACCAGAGGCACAAATAAGCTAGTTGTGGGAGAATTCAGACAGTTTTTCTTTTCATCTCTTGTACTATGGTATACATTATACTATTGCTTCCTGGTCTTGCTCTCTGATGCCTGCTCCTTGGGGGATTCCTTTTAGAAAGTGAACAATCAAAATATTAAAAGTAAAGAAAATACCTGGGTTGTAAGAACTAACCTCTGTTCTGGGCCATTGGTAAAAACCACCTCTCTCTCATGTGTTTAGCATAAAGGCAATAATGTTTAAGATGATTAAAGTAGTAAAGAAGGAAAAATTACCATTAGAGAATGTTAGAAATGGAAGGCACTTTAAAAATCCTGTCTCAGTTCCCTTGCTGTAGAGATCAGATGCAAGGACAGCATAGAACCGAGGCCTCTAGAGATGTGCCAGGACGGTGGGCACTAGCCGCATGTGGCCATTTAAATGAAATTATAAAACATTTCAATAGAAGCCGCATTTCACGAATAGTACCAATTATAAAACATTTCCATTGTTGGAGAACGTTCCATCGGACCACGCCACACTCGACATTTTCACCAAAGCTCTTTCCTCTCCCCTGTGGGAACCTTAAATGAAGGGGTGCCTAGTGATTGGCCCCTAACACTGTGTCACATATTTAAATAAATGATTTAAAATTGGAAACAGTGTGTGAAATGCTTTTGTTATTTATTATTCATTTTTGATGACCTAGAAGGGAGGTGTACCCAGAAGACTCGTGGAATGTGTGTGGTTCCTTCAGACATCAGGAGCCTTAAGGGAACTCACAGAGCCACATCCCCCAGGCAGTGAAAAGGGGCTTATTTGGCTCTCGCCTGCCTCATGTGAACCATCAAGATTAATTTCAGGTCTGTGTCAAGTGAAATAAATTCCTAAAGGTGGCATTCTTAGTAACCCAGTTCAATTTAGCCTCTGCTGTAAGCAGCCAAACTTACACTTAATTTAGTTTTTAAATAACACTGCAATGTACATAGGGATGCATATATCTTTTTGAATTAGTGTTTTGGATTTCTTTGGATAAATACCCAGAAGTGGAATTGCTGGGTCATAGATAGTTTTATTTTTAATTTTTTGAGGAACTTCCAGAATTGGAATTGCTGGGTCATAGGTAGTTTTATTTTTAATTTTTTGAGGCACTTCCAAACTATCTTCCATAGTGGCTGCACCAATTTTCAGTCCCACCAACAATCTAATATTGATGGATTATTATTTTTTTTTGAGTGACTAATGCATTATGAACCTTCATTGAACTTAATTTAAGATGGTTTTTCTGGCCCTGGCCGGTTTGGTTCAGCGGTTAGAGCGTCGGCCTGCGGTCCAGAGAGACCCGGGTTCGGTTCCCGCTAAGGGCACGTACTTCGGTTGCAGTTTGTCCCTGGCCCTGGTCGGTTGTGCGGGTGGCAGCCACTCGATGTGTTCCTTTCACATCGATGTTTCTCTCTCTCTCTGTTCCTCTCTCTCCCTCCCACTCTACCTGAACAAAAAATGGAAAAATGTCCTCCGGTGAGGATAAAAAAAAAAAAAAGATGGTTTTTCTGTATTGAATGGTTCTGAGAGTGCTAATTGGATTATTCTAAGAGGGGTAGTGAAATCAGTGGAGGCTGAATTTTGGGTTTTACTTCTGGTTTATTTATTCATCTAACATTTGGGGAAGCCTCTAGAGCAGCGGTTCTCAACCTGTGGGTCGCGACCCCTTTGGGGGCTGAACGACCCTTTCACAGGGGTCGCCTAAGACATAACAGTAGCAAAATTACAGTTATGAAGTAGCAACAAAAATAATTTGATGGTTGGGGGCCACCACAGCATGAGGAACTGTGTTAAAGGGTCACGGTTAGGAAGGTTGAGAACCGCTGCCCTGGAGTCACACATCTTATAGATATACTTGATTGGTTACTGTCAGCTGAGGGCTGTAAACCAAGGGCATCAAGGAGGAATAAAACCCTGCAGTAGAGTCTTGGATTAGAAAGTCAGCTCTTTATTAATCAAATGTCATCTTCTTTATGAAGCTTACCCTGACTACCCTATTAAAATAGCAGCCCTTCTGGTATTCCTGGTTTTCCTGAACTATTTTTTATTGCATTTATCACCTTCTGACTCATTTAGTATGCTTATTGTTTATTGTATGTCTCTCCGCTAAAATCTAAGCCCTATAAAGCATAGTTGTTGTTTTTTTTTGGGGGGGGGGGTCTGTTTCACTGGTATATACCAAATATCTCGAAGAGTGCTTGTCACATAGTACATGCTCAGAAATAATTATTGAATGAATGAATGAATGAATGAATGAATAGGTGAATATGATCACAAAGAGTGATGTTTTTATTGGATAATTCCATTAAAACTATCGTGAAGTTTACCAGTGACCTCCTTGTGTTAAAATCAGACATCGTTTCTCAGTCTTTATCACACTTAAATTATTCATAGCATTTAATACAGCGATCACTCACTCTGCCAGGACACGAGTCGTTCCAGTTTTTCCTCCTGCCTGATCAGTTAGCTCCTTCTCAGGCCTTCAACTGGTTCTTCATCTCCCCAGTCTTAACAGTGGAGTACCCCAGTGCCCCGTTCTCGATCCACTTTTCTCTTCCATCCAAACTTTGTCGTGGTGATGCATCCTGTCTCCTGGCTTTAGATGCTAACCATGTAGTGGGACA